AGGTAGTTATCAAAAAACTGCCAGTTGAAATGCTGTGCTAGGGCACATAATACAATTAATGTTTTGCGGTGAATTTACTGCTGAATAACATTATCAAGAGTACAGTTTATGCAAACTTGATGCTAACTGTCAACAGTAAATTCGTCGGAGGACATTAATTTTAATATACGTAACACGCGTCTACCAGAGTCCACATCAAAGCATTCAGCTCCACGCTATTGAACGAAGAGAAAGCTGAAATCCCCTTGCAAGTTCCCAATCGCTGATTTAGAAGGGAAATATGGTCTGTCGTGCTTTGGTAATTAGTTTGGAGTTATTTATCGAAGAGTATGATTTGTTAGCATGGGAGAAAAACAGCAAATAATCAAGCTGTATAAATTAGTGAACAGACGCAAATTTTAGCCGAAGGAAGTTAGGAATTAGCAGAAAAGAAACAAAATATAGCTAGAGGAAATATTGTCAATAAGATGCAAATTTAGTGGTACCAAATCTAATGAGAAATGGAGCTAAATCATCTCAAAAACGACAATTGTAATTCGGTAAATCCTGAATTGCTAGAAAACACTATAACTATAAAGTTCTGGATTTCGTACTACTATGTCATACACGCCATTCTTCAACAAATGAAAAGTAAGAAATTAAGGAAAAAGGAGGAAAAACTGAGGTGTATTTTCGAACATTTGCCGGAAGCTATGCGCAATATCGGCCAAGAGAAAGGCCATTAAAAAGAGCTAAGTGTTTTCACAGAGCGAGCTAAATTTCCCATTTTACGACAACCGGAACATTGACCTTCAAAGCATTCACAAAGTCTGCTGAAGAACGCGGTTAATTAAAAATACTAAAAATACTGTGGTTCTAGCCGCACTTCGTGTTTTTCAAAGCACTGAAATAATAAATGATAGCGGTGAAGCTACTGTGTTGTGCGCTGAAGTGTTATAAGCACGTGCAGTTATTTTATTAATTTCAAGAATATCAAGATCTTCCGGACTGTCGTTGTGAGAATTCCATGTTAAAGGAGGGTGCTAATTCTAGTACCGCGTATAATCGTGTCGATGGATATTACTAAAATGCTCTCAGAAGCGGGGCGCAGCTATGCTTGAGGTTTCGGCCATGACTCAACACCTTCAGTTACTATCCAGCATCTGTTCAATGTATATGCGTCAACTTTTCGAGGCCACTCGAATAATCGTTTGCTTTTTCTGCAGGTACCACTTATCAATACGTGACTTTGGCCGGTTGTCAACAAGGTAAGCAACATTTCCTGCTCAATTTTTTATCTTAGCAAAAAGGCATAGCGGTAAAGTATGTGTGCGCGTATGTGTGTGTGAATGTGTCTGTGCGTGAGTGTGCGTTTATGTGTACATGTTTGTTAACTAGGTGCTTCATAAAGGTAAGCGCACAAACCTGTAACTTGTTAGATGAGGAAATGTATCCATTCTGAAACAGGAAAAATGATAAATAGGAGTTTGTTAAACAGCGTGAGATATTAGAAACCGAAATTTTGACAGATTTTCGTTAAAAATCACCTCAACTTCTCAGGGCATCAATACACAATTCCATTTTCCCTCTTTACTCTGTCATCTCTTCCTTCTTCTCTCC